TTTTTTTTTTTTTTTTCGGAACCAGGGATTGAACTCAGATCCTTGCGTTTGCCAGTCAAGCGCTTATCCTACTGAGCCATCTCCCCAGCCCCTTGTACGAGTTTATAAAGCATGTAAAGTAAAAAAGTTTTGTGAGCTAGGGTGTTGCTCAGTAGTAGGTCACTTACCTAGCACGTACAGGGCATGGGTTAAATCCTCAGCAGTATACAGAAGAAAATTTCCTTTATCTCTTGTAAGTATTCAACCTATACATCCTACTAGTCTACTTTTTTTCTGAACCTAATTTGGGTAGATATGATACAAAATGATAATATATTACACATTATCATTTTCTGAATTATTTCAGTTTCATGAGACAGTTATCCCAAGGTCAAGCAAGTGTAAGTTTATGCACCCCAAAACAAGTAACACTATACACCCTTAAGGAACACACACACACACACACACACACACACACACACACACACACGATACAGGATAAACAAAACATATCCTAAAAGTCTATTTGCATGGCAAAAGTTTGGAACTTAGAATTTATTTCTCATAGAATTAACTTATAAAAGGTGACCCAGTTCCTAAGCCATTCCACACACACATACAACAAATTAAACCACAGTGTTATAAGTAGATTATAAAAATGAGTATTACTACTGTTATGGAACTTAATCTATTTCATATGGCACTGGGATTAAAAACTTTTCTAGTTCTAAACTACTGGAGGTACCCTCCAGGGTGTAAAGGAGTTCAGAAAGGTGGAAAGCTTTTTCTTTTGGAGACAGGGTCTTGTTAAGTAGTTTAGGCTGGCTTTGAACTCACTATACAGCCCAGGCTGGCTTGAAACTTGCAGTAATCCCCTTGCCTCAGCTCCCAAGTGCTGAGTTTACAGGTGTGCAGCACCACACCTGGCAAAAGAGGAAAGTTTTTTTTGTTTTGTTTTGTTTTTTGTGGTACTAGGGATTGAACTCAGGACCTTATGCTTGCCAGGCAGGTGCTTATGTTGCTGAGCTATGCTTCTGGCCCCAAAGTGGAAGGCTTTTAAAGAAGGTAAAGAAGAATGAAGGACAAGGAAAGGAGGGGATATGGGGAATAGAAACTTCCCACTAGACTAAATTCTCAGATTTTTTAAATTTATGTATTTCGTATAGGGTCTCACTATACAGTTCTGACTTGTAGCAATCCTCCTGTTTTCAGCCTCCCCAACACTGGGATTACAGGAATGTGCCACCATGCCCAGACTTGATCACTGGAGGCAATGGCATGTGGTCCCAGGGATCAAACCACAGTCCCTGCACTTGCCTAAGCTTGCCTAAGGGGGTGCTTTATCCGCTGAGCTATCTTGCTGGCCCCAGACTGACTTAATCTCAACAGAAATATTTTCTGAGATACACAGGGAGTAGCCAGCCTACTCCTGACTTTTTCAAACATGTTCACTACCACACTGGATATGAGGGTGTGTGACTGTAATCCCACCATTTGATCTTTTTTTTTTTTTTTTTTCCCAGAACTGGGGATTGAACTTGCCAGGCAAGCACTTATTCCACTGAGCCATCTCCCTGGCCCCCAGTCCCACCATTTGAGAGGCTGAGGCAAGAGGATCTTGAGCTCAAGTCTCCATTACATAACAAGTCCCTGTCTCAAAATGTGAAAATTCCTATTATTTTAAACCAAATTTTTGGGCTGGCGAGATGGCTCAGTGGTCTAAAGCACCTACTTGGAACAAGCTTGGCAAAGTACAGGGACTGCAGTTTGATCCCCCAGCACCACATGCCAGCCAGCCCCACCCCCTGGTGGGCTGAGCTGGCCACACACACACACACACACACACACACACACACTCTAAATAAATGTTTAAAAAAATAAATCAAAATTTCACCTAACTGGTCTACCATTAACAGAAACAAGAGAAGGAAAAAGACTTAAAACTTTCTTTAAGAGCACCGTTCCCCTCTATCCCTTAGGAGAACACTGACGGTTATACAGGTCTCTCGGCAAGGAAAGTACTAGAAAGACATACTCTGTTTACACACATTTTCTCACAGGATCTGACACAGCAGAAGAAAACTAAGACGGGGAAGAAGCTAAGAAAAGGGAACTGGGACTGAAGACGGAGCAAGAGCGGTCTGAGAGAGAACGTTGATAGGTTTTTCATCCTCCCCCATGGCCACCAGCTCCCAGGGCAGGGCGAGGAAGAACTGGAAAGGGTGGAATGCTCAAACCAAACCTAAGGGTGAGTGGAGGGACATTTAAATCCTATATAGTAGAAAAGAAAAAGGAATGCCAGGGTTATCACATCGCCAACTGCAATACAGTCTCAAGTGAATAATCCGTAAGTCAAAGGAGACTTTGTCCAGATTTTCTGATTTGTAGAAGTCTTGGCAAAATATCTTACCAATCACAAGGGTTGCCTGAATTTTGCTGTGAATATGTAATCTAATTTCACACTGTAAGCAGTTCATTCTGTGAAGAAAAGCAGTGTTAAAGAGTAGTCAACTGGCCCACTGCGTCACTATCATCAGAGAGCAAGGTCCAGGAACCTGTGTTTTCCAGGTCGCTAGGTGCTTTTTATTTTCTTCTGGGTTACAGAAGGACTTCTGGAGAGAATAGACATAAAAATGGCTAGTTGGTCCCAAGGTATAGAAAGGGTAAGGCAGTGCTGTACACAAAAGAAGATGGTGTGCATCCTGAATCATCCAATTCACACCACCAGAAAGAAGTGACAGGGAGGGCAGAGTGATACTACAGGCACACACAGAAGTCCCAGCTCAGCACCCTGTTTTAGAAGTTAGACAAATGAGCCAAGTATGATGTTACACGCCTCTAAGCAAAAGGGAAGTGGGGGTGGTGTTCTTCAAAGGAAGTTAGGCAGGGAAGGCATCGCTCTGCATCTCCCAGGCTGATGTGGAATGGGAAAAGCTACTGCAGGATTAAACAGGAGAAGTTGGGAGTTGACGAATTGAAGGAGAAAGCAAAAAGTCTGAGAAGGGAATATGCAGAGGGTACTATAATCAACCAGAAATACCTAAGAGCAAAAGTCACAGCAAAAGAAATCATTTTAAGAGGTTACAAATGAAGGATGCAAAGCAAGAGGACTAGGGCAGCACGGCAGGAGCCAAGAACCAAGAACCAAGGGAAATGGGAAAAGTCGTATCTCCAAAATAGATGCTTATAAACAAACATTTACAGGCTGGAGGGGCGGCTCAGTGGTAGACAACATGCTTGCATATACGAGACCCTAGATTCAACCCCAGCACAAAAACGCTTTTAAAAATACAGATAAAACAAATAAACAAGAAATTAAGTGTCACTCTTGGATGAAATACTGAAGAACACTGTGTAAAGGACACTGTGCCCACCAGCACTAGCTCCCTGCTTCAACACTCCCATGAGCAGTACAATTGGGCAAAGCTTACTCTTTTGGCTGACGAACAGCATTTCAATACAATGGATTCCTGCACAACTTCAAAGTGATAGCGATTCGCTATCATGCCAACTGTGGAGCAAAGTATATTTTTGTTTTTGTTTTTGTTTTTTTTTGCTTTAAAAAATATTTATTTATTTATTTATTTATTTTTGTGTGTGTGTGTGTGGCCAGCTCAGCCCACCAGGGGGCGGGGCTGCTGGCATGTGGTGCTGGGGATTGAACCGCGGTCCCTGTGTTTTGCTTGGCTTAGCTTGTTCTAAGTAGGTGCTTTAGATCACTGAGCCATCTCACCAGCCCTTGTTTTGTTTTTGAGATAGGATCTTGTTACGTAGTTCAAGCTGTCCTTGATCTCACTATGTAGCCCAGGCTGGCCTGGAACTCGAGTCAATCCTCACATCTCAGGCTCCTGAGTGCTGGGATTACAGAATGCACCACCATGACCAGCTTCAAGGTACTCATTGTAAAGGCTATACTGTAGTTAACATGACTTAGCTACTAATAAATATGATTGTGTTAACCTCCTACGCCACAGATGCCACAGAACAGCCCTGGAGCTTTTTCTTTTTCTCTCTTGAGACAGGGTCTCACTATGTAGTCCAGGCTGGCCTTGAATGCATGATCCTCCTACTTTAGGGCTGAAAGGTTTAAAAAAAATGAACTTCTCCTTGTCCCCTTCCCCATTTTTGAGACAGGATTTTGTTTTGTAGTTGAGTGAGCCTTCAACTTGAAGGCCTCTTCCTGCCTCTGCCTCTTCCTGAGTGTCGATACTACAGGCACACGACAGAAGTCCCAGCTCAGCACCCTGTTTTAGAAGTTAGACAAATGAGCCAAGTATGATGTTACACGCCTCTAATCCCAGTACTCAGAAGGCTGAAGCAGGAGGACTAAACACTTGAGGCCAACCTAGGCTAAAGAAAGAGAATCTATCTCAAATACAAATGACAACAAAAAGTTAAACAAATGAAATGCAAGAAAAAAAGACAAAATAAAATTAGATCATCAGTTTGTGACTTACAGATTTTTTTATTTCCTTTAATAGGAAACTTCACAATCATTTCCTGGGGATTTTTGCAGATAAAAACAAATGGAGAATCAGATTCTTGACTGATGTCTGGAAACTGTAAAATATAAAATTAACAAGTTCAGGCTTGTTGGGACAAATTTTGATTTCCAAAGAGATCAAAAGATGTCCCAAATTTCACCCCCAACATTTGACAGTAATCTCCATTTCACAGGTAAAAAGGGTTATGCTCAACAAGTGAGAACAAAATTTCACCCTTCTTCATACCTTCTCATAGAATTATACAGTCTGCTGACCTTATCTTTGACTCTCCTATAATGGGACTGACTTTGTAAACAAAGAATTCCTGACACCGTTCCAAGAGGATCAGAACTAACTATCCTTTTAACACAAGCAAATGGGAGCTGGGAGATCCACAGGTTGCCTTAAGGACCATCGGGCATCCCCTAGGTTCAACTCAAGTGAAGCACTAGGAGATTTACAAAAAAAAAAAAAATAAATAATAATAATAATAATAATAATAATAATAATAATAATAAAGCATTTGTGGAAATTCTGCCAGAAACAGTACACACAGTCCTCTCACTAAAGGGAAGGAAGATGATTCATTCTGAAAGGTATGAACATGCAAAAGCTGCTTTGTTGGATGTGGACCAGATCTACTGAGGGTGAAAGTAACTGGTGAAGCAATTCTGAAAATTGTTCAGAAGCCTGCTCTGGATCTTGTATTATAAAAATGAACTTGCTTGAGCACTTAGGACTTTTCCTCCTTCAGCAAAAATTACACACAGAATCTAAAGTAAGGATAAGCTGCAATTTAAGGAAAAATTAGGAGTTGGCAGAAAATGCTCTGGAGCAGTGACCAACTGGTCTGGCATTTCATTATTTCTTATTTCAGGATGTCTTGTTTGTAGCATGTTGGACAAATATGAGTGAGAAGCTTCTGGGCCAGACTTCATTACCAGAGAAGCATTTCTCCTGGTAAGTAGCCACCAAAGGTAAAAAATTATTTTCCAGTTTTATTCACCTGTAAAGATTATCTCTAAAGTTCTAAGTTCTAAAATACAAGACACTTCAGTAAAAAAGGTAAGAAAAGTCAAATTTCTCTGTAACTAGTGGAAGTAGAAACAGTTTAATATTGCTCTATAAACAGTGGTATCTAAGGCTCTAAGTGATGTTTTAGGAAAAACTGAAGGGGTTTTTAGTAGCTTTTGGTGCTGTCCACATACCATGACTTTTGAGTACAGAACAGCTATGGTACGGACTTGATAAAACATAAATTTAGGCTGGGCACGCTGGTGTATGCTTATAATCTGAGCTAAGAAGAAAGCCGACATAGGAGGAGCCCAAGTCTGTGGCCAGCTTGGGCAACTTACAACCTGCCTATAAAATACGATAGATAAATGCATAAAAAAAGTACAAATTCATGGTGGAAAAGAATAAAGATAGGAGAGCAGGCCCTCCTATTTCTTTATGCCAGTATCCTTAGAATTCAAAGTAAGTGGGCTGGGGAGATGGCTCAGTGGAAAAATGCTTTCCTGGCAAAAGCAAGGGCCTGAGTTCAATCCCCAGTTCCGCAAAAAAAAAAAAAAAAAGGAATTCAAAGTAAGGCCTAGTTGTTACAGTTGGGTGTGACAAGGAAGTAAGTTCTGTAACAAGATCCCTGCTGGGCGCCCTTTGGCACAAATAAGATGAGAGGTTACCAGTAGGATCTTTAAACCTAGATGGCAGCAGTGGCCTACACCTACGATCCCAGCTACTTGGGAGGCTGATGCAGGACGCTAGTCTGGGGAATTCAGTGAGACCCTATCGCAAAATAAAAGAATAAAAGGGGCTGGGAACACAGACACTTCCCCATTCCCCATGAAAAAATGCTAAACAAGTAACAACAAACTTTAAACCTGATTCTACAGAGGCTAAAGCCAACAGTCACAATTACCGTCTCTTCAACTTTGCGGCTGTCCCTTTTCTGTGGTTCACAGGAGCAAGAAAGGGATAATGCTGAAAGACTTCACAGTTTGGGGTTTCCAAAACTGCATGCTGTCTCAGCCATTCTCTCCCCTCTCTTCCACATCAATAACGCTTCTTCTTTGCTGGATCAATTCCATTAACATATAGCACTCTGTAATTTCTGCTATAAAACAGTAATTTCTGGGTTGGCCCGATAGCTCAGGAGACTGAAGCACCTGCTTAGGCAGAGCACAGTGGCCAGGGTTCAATCCCTGGCATGCCATGCAAGCCCCGCCCCTGGGGCACACTGAGAGAGTGAATGAGACTGGGCATGGGGCGCATGCCTGTAATCCTAACACTTGGAAGGCTGAAAACAGGAAAATCACTGAGTTCGATCTATGTAGTGAGACTCTATACACCCTGTAGACCCTGTCCTAAATACAGAAAAATAAAAAAACAAAAAACAGTAATTCCTCTCTAGTTCCTACATCCCACACGAGCTACCACCCTATTTCTCAGATCCCTTTCACAACAAAATTCATCAAAATATTATCTGCACTCCCTGGTTTTAATTTCTCTATTATTTTCTTTAATTCGCTATAGATAGGCTTTTGCTCCATCACACCACCCAAATTATTCTTATAAAGCTTGCTATATTACTTTTCTCATTGCTGAGACAAAATATCCAACACCCAAAGTTAAAGGAGAAAAAGTTTATTTAAACCAGTTAATAGGGGGTTTGAGTTCATAGTCAGCCAGTCCCAAGGCAGAATGGCCTGGCAGAGGGCTATCACAGAGGAGAAACAGTCCATGGCAGAGCAGGGCAGGCAAAAGGCAGCAAGCCATAGGCACTGCTGCAGCAGCAGCCTGCTTCTCCTTTCTATTGCTTCCAGGCTATCTGTCCTTTGAGTGGTACCATCCACACACAGGGTGGGCCTTCCTATTATCCACAACCAGAACTATGGTAAACTAATGAGTGGAATGGTTTAGTAATCACACACCCTTATCCCCAGTACCATGCACTCTAACACAACCATCTTCCAAACTCCCTGCCTATGACTGCATGAAGCTTAGGGGGATATCTAGATATAAGCAGTAACAAAGATTACTACTGGCTTTCATATTGCTAAGCCAAATGGTCAATTCTCAAATACTTTATTTAACCCTCCTTTGAAAGATTAATTTTATGTTTTTGTGAGATGGTTCCTGCTATATTGCCCAAGCTGGCCCCAACTCTTTTTTTGGCGGAACCGGGGACTGAACTCAGGCCCTTGTGCTTGCCAGGGAAGCGCTTATACTACTGAGCCATCTCCCTGGCCCAAATGGTCAATTCTCAGTTTTTATCTTCTTGTTTTGTTTTGTTTTTTTGTGGTACCAGGGATCCATCTCACAACCCTGCACTTGCCAGGCAGGTACTTACGCCACTGAACTATATCCCTGGCCTCTCAGTTTTCATCTCAATCTTTTGTTTAATGTATTTAGTACAGGGTCTCACTACGTAGGTTGGACTTGTTGTGATCCTCCTGTTTTCAGCCTCCTAAGAGCTGGGATTACAAGCACACACCACTATGCCCAGTCTCAACTGAAGCCTCAGCACGCCCCAGGGTTGGGGCTGGCATGGCACACTGGGGATCAAACCCCAGGCCCCACATCTGCCTAAGCAGGTGCTTTAATCTGCTATCTGGTCGGCCCAACAACTTTCATCTTAACTGATCTATTTGTAGAAGTTGACAAAAAATTATTTTTTCAGTGCTTGGAATTTTCTTTTGATTCAGCAAGAGAATCATTCTTTTGTTTTTTTAAAAACTTTTTAAAAAATTTTTTATTGTGTGTGTGTGTGTGTGTGTGGCCAGCTCAGCCCACCAGGGGGTGGGGCTGGCTGGCATGTGGTGCTGGGGGATTGAACC